GTAGGCTTTCCCCCCTAAAATCTTTTCCCCCGGAAAACTGGCTCTAGAGTAGACTTTCCCCCCGGAAAACTGGCTCTAGAGTAGGATTTCCCCCCAGGAAAACTGGCTCTAGAGTAGGATTTCCCCTACGGAAATCCCACACCGGAGTCAGTTTTCCGGGGGGAAATCCTACTCTGTGTTGTAGTTATAGAGTGCGATTTCCCCCAGAGCCAATTGTCCCTTTATCAAAGTATAATTTAAGCGCAGATGATGCAAACAAACCTTGAAAATTACATTTCAAGTCCTATTTAAATAAGTAAAATAAAAGTTATTTTAAATTTTTCATTAAAAGTTACACAAAAATGGGATTTAAGGAGATGTAATATGACCAAAAAATTTGACTTATAGATGAATAAGGATGTTTACAGAGAGGTGGATTTTTGAAGTTTACAATTTTGTAATATTTTAGAAATTTTATTATAATTGTAATCATTTACACACAAAATAAGTCCAAAATATTCTAGTATACCAATCCAGATATCCATTTTTGTTTATTTCATTATGCTTTGAGAATTTTAACATTTCTTCTGAAATCTATATATTTTAGTTGAGATTCCATGATTTGCCTTACATATCGTTAAAAACCCACTAATTTACCTTTTAAAGATCAGTTTCTCGTTTTTCTTTTTTTTTTCCTTCACAAAAATATTGCGGCTGTGGTTTATATTGACTCTTTAACGAGGGGGAAATCCTACTCTGAGAGAGAAAGAGGGAGAAACTTGGCTCTGGTGTGAGATTTCCACCTGGGAGGAAATCCTACTCTGTAGTACGATTTCCGGGGGGAAAGCTGGCTGTGGGGGAAATCCTACTTAACAACACCGGTATTAATGAGAATTCAATAAAGAATTATATTATATAAGAGGATTATTTTAATAATTTTCATTGGCTGAAAGGACGTCACGTGATATTCGACCTTTTGTACATGTGATGTTGACGCGAAAGCGCTTTCGCGGAAAATGATATCGCACGACACACTGTTCGGTTGCACCAAAATTACGTAGAATGTGATGTAATAATATAAGAAGCGTGTTTTTAACCATTCTGACGTAATGACAGCCGAGTCTGTTCAGTTATGACTGTGTCAGTGCATTCACTTTGAGTGATTATATAATATAACTATTATGAACTTCAGTAAATGGTCAATATGAGGTTATAAGGACTCATGGCAATACTGATTTTGACCTCAAACACAGAAAATGATAGCGACCTCGCAGGCTCGGTCGCTATCACTTTCTGTGTCTTCGGTCACTATAAATTGCCATGAGTCCCTATAACCACATATCGACCTACACTGAAGACCATAACTGTATAGTATATGCTTCAATAAGAAAACTCCATGTAGCAGAAATAGTGCCCATCTACATGGAATGCTGGTGCTATCAAAAATAAAATATCAGGGGCAGTATTCTTTTAAATGTATACTACAAATACAACTTGAACAGAAAATTATATAAACAAACATGTATCTCTCTATTAGCACACATACCTTAACATCACAATACTGTTAAATATTTGATAAAATCAATTTATATACGGACAATTATCATGAACAGTTTTAAGATTGTACAAAAGAGCAGGGATGCATTTCAATTTACATACATCTTTTATCTAATTATGTATAATAGACATATCACTTGTAGTCCACATAATTAAGCATAATTTAAACAATAAATTATGTCTATTTCGTTTTAGATCTATGTAGGAGATAACTTTAAAATGTACATGTATGTCATCAATGGATTTGGCGCACTTCATCACACAGGTTTTAATGCCATTGTCTGGTCTACAGAAGTTGATTTTTAGTTCCTGGCTTCTCACTATTTTAACAGATAGAATTTCATCAGCTGGATTTAGGTCCAAAGAGAAGACCAGCATATCTAAATTATCATTCTTCAAAACATTGATTTCTTTTTTACAAATATGATCCCTGGTGGAATTTCTGCTTTTTTTACTGTCATGGGCCTGAAAAATATGAAATATTAGGTCAATTTCCAACATGCCAATTATTAAAAAAATACTATTACAGTTTTAACTACAATTTTGTTAACTTTATACAGTTATGTGTACATCACACAGATATACATTATACAAACTTGAAAATGTTTAATTTAACAAGTTTAAAAGGAATTAATTTTTTTACAGGTAAAAGAAAATAAATTAATTGCCACTGACTACTTAAACTTGAAAAGTACTTGTACTTATGCTATGAACTAAGAGCACAATTAGTAGCTTTACAGAACATAATTTGGCTGTTTAATGGCAAAGAAATGATCACAGTTTCAAACATTATTTTTTTCTTTAACTCCAGTAAAATTTGAAAGGAGCCATTGAGGCAGAAATGATTAATAGATAATAAAGATTCTATGTGAGGATTAAGTACGCATATCAACATGTAAGAAAAATAATTTAAATATTGCAAAAAGAATAAGACATTTTGGGGGATTACACTTAACATTTGTGTTAAATATATATACGATAAACATGTTAAATAAAAAGTGTTATGTGAAATTACATATTGGTAATAATTTTCATCACTTATGTAAAATAATTTTGTTCTACAGCGAATATACTGCTTATTCTTTAAATAAAAATCATTCATGAATAATTGTGAAGAAGTGTTTTGTTCTTTTTAATACAAAGATGACATCATGATCACCATGACGCATTCAAGTATTTGATACATATTGTATTGTAGCTCAAATATAGGGATAGATACATATGTCTGCCTTTTGAAAAGAGTTGTTATATATCTGTTTAAAGCCTGAGGTACAATCTAGATTCTACTCGTATACCAGACACAGGAGAGAACATGATAGGATGCAGCCTAACCAAGACCGCTAGGGTAAAATCCGTAGCCATACTTTTGTTTAAGAGTTGACTTTTAGATTTCTTCCAAAGTTTAAATACTATGCTTGGATAGACTTTGTTATCAGTCGGACAGGTTATGTACATGACCACATCGATTACTAGCATGAAGCTCTCCTACCAGTGGCTGCTTGATCACAGAAAGTTTCCTAATCTTGAATAATTATTTATGCATTTTTGTGACGTCATATGACATAAATCACATATTCATTCAACATGGGTTTGTTTCCATTGCAATTAAAAGTGAACAATTTATATCAACAGTGTTTCTTACACTGCTATTGGGTATTGGAAGGTTGCATCATGATCAAACCAAATTTCTGACTGTACGCTTTATTAGCATTCGTCAATATTTTAATAAGCTACAAAATATTCTTTTCTCATTTGACCACGGTAAGAAAGGGAGAGAATTGTACATTTTGGCTATGGTTTGTGAGTTATGTATTAACTTGATACCTTGCGGATTAAGTACAGATTACTGCATCTGCAGATTCTGAATCTCTAAATAAAATCATTCATTTAATTCTTATTCAGTTGTAAAAATTTCTCTTTAAAATAACATGGGTTCAAATGCTTAATCGCTCAGAATATTGAGTGTTTAATTATTTGTAATACTAAATCTGTTTACTATCATCTTTATATAATCTGATTAAAAAAACATTGTTTACATACCCTCTGAGTCATTGTTGTGACTGTGTACTGATGATTCCTTGGAAAATGATTTTTCCACTTAAAGCAGAATATTTTGGCTGAAATATTCACAGGATACACAATAAATTTGCAACTGGATTTAACACAAATTTCATGTTTATTGTCCATTACGTGTCCTTGCTTACACGTTTCACACATTAGGACTATTCTACCCACCTAAAATCGCTTCACAAAAAGAATAAATCATTGCATCGATAGCTGTAATCAATACCAAACAACTATGTTACGATAACTTCGCAAGATTACTTCCAACCTCCACTGTATCGCCATTTTGTTTCAAATTTATGATTGGAATATGACAAAGCTTTTTTTTTGGTAACAAGTGTTAACATATAAAGGAAAGTTATTTAATACAAAATACAAATAAAGATTACCCCCAAAATACTTTTAATGGCTTAAAAACCAATGCTGAAATTAAATAATCCACTTCCGCAAGAATAATCTTACTTCCGATAGCAAGATTACTAAGGTTACTAACATTGACATTGTTTTAAACCAGGATCTGGATAAGGATCAAAGCAGGATAAAGATAAGGAAAACTAGCATCAAAATCAGTAAGAAAGAAAGCATCAAAATCAGCAAGCAAAGGAAGCATCAAAATCAGGATTGATGCTGTGACAAAATTATTTCCCTGCACTGAAATATGTATGGAACTCGAAAGCTTATTTACTTTGTCATTGCTACATGTAGTTTGCCAAAATATTTCCTTGAAACATTTCGATTGTACACACTAGTAATGCCACCCCCGTGTGACGCAGAGGTAAGAGGGTCTGCTCTAGAGTCACGGATTAAGGATTTGATCCGTATGTTGTGGGTTCGATACCCAGTGTGAAAAAAGATCATTCACTGCTTAACACCCTGAGTGTCATATATATTACCAAATTTGTAAGTCTTAAACGCGAAGTTGTTAATGATTATCCCTAACAAAAATGACTTCAGCAAACTCAACAAACAAGTTAAGGAAACAAAAGCATTAGCAGTCTCGTTTAAGGTCATTATTTTGCAAGTTTAATGGTTGATACAGTTTCTGTTTTTTTTTTCCCGAAAATAAGGTGGAGCACACGACGAGTGTGACCGTTTGGTAGGTAATGCTCACTACTACATGGCACCTTATCTTATATCTGATGATTCAGAGTTCCGTTCTGCTCTGCTCCCGAATTGTATTGTTGAATGGTCTTTTGAGCTTAAACATTATTCGTTATCTCTATATCTATCATCTTTACGAGTGTATCGTAAATAAACATTAATATCAATATGGTTTAATAAATATTTGCACAACAGTATCAAATAGACAGCATAAATTTTACTTCTTTTATGTTTTATTGCATATATATATTTGAAAAAAAGAATGCACATGAACATAAAAAATTGTTCATGGTGTAAAAAGATCATAAATGTATCCATATACGAGAAAAAAAAACCAAGTTTTCAAACATAAACACATAGGCATGGATGAATTTTACTTAGAATACAAAATAAAATATTTTATAACTAGGAATGATTATAAGATAATAAACCTCAAATACTTAAATTGATCATATCTTTTAGCACACCGTATTATTCATTATTCAATATTGTCCACTTAAACTCATTCAACCAAACACTTTTAAAGGAGTTGTTAAATATAAGTTTTTTACCAACTGCAGTCTTTTATATAGAAGGAATCCTTTTCTAGTTCCTGTGGTATACTAGGGCATTTTAGGCAATTTACCAAATGGTCAGAGTCCGATATTAAGTTACCCACCTGTCGTTAATGTCCCTATAATAGCTTAAAATCTATCAATGTTTTATTATATTAAAAAAAAATAGGTAAAGCGTTAGTGTAAAATATAGAGTTAATAAAGCTATCTTATATGGTTGAAATGCATAAAGCATTCTATCTTATTTTCTTAATTCTCCGCAAAATGTCATGAGACATAATGACAGTTAAAACATGTTTTCTTAAAATTGTCCAGTTTTACATATACCCTCTTCTGAAGAGAGACAAAGTAAAACAAGAAGTCTGAAAGGTAATGTTCACTAGTAATATCCCCGCTCTGATGTGAATATACATTATCATGTTGATATAAATTCAATTTCATGCAGATGCATGGATTGATAGAAAGTTGACATCTGCTTTGAACCAAAATAAATTCACAACATTATTACAAAGCATGTGCTTAAATTACAAGCATCGGCGATAAGTACGAGGGACGTTCAATAAATAATGTCATCGGTGCTCGAAAAGAAACAAATTTAGTCTTAATGATTAAACTAAAATATTGTCTAATGATTAAAACACATATCCGTAACAATTTTATTTAATTTCTAATTCTTTTTAGAACTCATCTATGAGTATTACCCTTCGTATACTGGAATATGGCAAATCCAATGATTTCCTGTACATGTTTTTTCTTTCTGAAAAATGTTTTTGTCAAGTTTGGGAAATGAAAGAAGTCAAAGATTGAAAGTGCTGGCCAATATTGTTGGTGTGACCAAACATTAACTTTATTTTTATCCGCAAAACTTCTTTACGCTTTATAGCCTAAGGGTTTGGACGCTGTCATGAAAAAAATTAATGTAGTGAATTCCTTATTCTGGCTCCCTCCTCTGAGAAACCTTTCAATTTTTTGCAAAAATATTGCTTTCTAGAATCTTGCAAAAATTGAAATTACTCCCCCAATAAGAATTTGAACAACAAGACCCTAATATTTGAAGGTACTTGGACACAGATTTGAAGTTATTATTTTCTCTATAATATTAAAACATATATTTTAATAGCATTTCACACAAAAAAATAATTAAAAATCTTATTTCATATAAAAAATATTAAAATTTCAAATTTTTTGGCGGGTTTTCTATGATTTATGATTTCTATGTTGTATGTTATCGAGCTGATGACATTATTTATTGAACGTCCCTCGTAGTTGCTGAGAAAAACTGCGACGCATTGATAAACAAGAAGTTGATAACAAATTTTAGAAAAACATATATCCATCCATATGGCATATGCCTCGAAAAAGAATGAGCTAAAATTTCAAGCATCTGTGATGAGTAGTTGCTGCGAAAACTGCGACCAATTTTGTTGCGGAGAGACACAAGGAAGAATAGACAGACACGCACAAGAAAAAAAACTGTATACCCCCTCTGCTTCGGAGCAGGGGTTTAATATTTTCTCTTAATCATTATGTTAAACTATGGTATAAAATAATACTAGTACATCTATAAGATAAACACACTAAATATTTTGATTTTTGTTCATTACTGACGTAACTAATTATGTTTGTAAAGTTCATAATCTGTTTTAAAATTGCCATGGAATTGGTTTAATCTGAGGCCTGAGCTCGTCTTAGCGCGATTATTGTGACTATCTTTGATTGTATGTTTTATTATTTTTTGCTGATAGAATCCTGCGTTTTGATGCAATTTAGATTTGCATGTAAATATAATTGTTATATGAGAGATATATAATTATTCTCCTTATTTGAATGGATCATATTATTAACAGGAAACTTTATTGTATAACCATCGTTTTTAATGTTTCAAAATAATTTGTTTACATTGTATGTAAATTTCAAGGAAGAAAAAAAAATCACAATTGCTCTTGGTCGGTAGCCAATATTCTGAAAAAGGGGGAAGAGATCCAAAAAGGGGTTATGTGCAAAATATGCAAGTTCTCACGACTTAATGTTTTTCAATAAATTGAATGGATGAAAACAACATACCAGAATATTTTACTTTAAATCAAAATCGTCACTATCTTCGTTTGCCTGATTTATAAGAGACCTCAACTTATTGAAGTCATCTTTTCTATCGTCATGAAAATCAAACCCTGGAAAAGGTCTGAACTTTGGATACAGAGATCTTGCATTTGCCTGTCCCCATATCGGAATAAATTTATCATATCTTTCTCTATTTGATTTACTTTCTGTAAGAGAGATATCTCCCAAAAACATTTGAAGGAGCTCCTCTTCCTCTCCAAGATTCTTCGTAACCCATACAAATACAAAATGTTTTTCCAAAATTGTGTTAAGGTTGTCAAAGTGTGTTCTTCCCGGATGGGAGAATTCTTGTAGAGTCTCAATTTCCATATCTGGGGCTGCTGTCTTCATTGCTGATTTGAATGTTTGGACTAACGTTCTGTCTTTCTCAGCATGAATAATGACAGCGTGTACATCTTGATAAAAGTAAATGAAAATAAATTACATTGATTTTTATCAACATGACATAAATCATAATTTTCATATTTATTAAATACAAAAAAAAATCTAAATGATTTTAATTCTGTGATAAAATTTAACATAGCGTGTGTAAAACATGCATCGGTTTTCTCTTCTCAACACTCAATGAACACTTGCTGAGTTTTATACAAATACAACATAGTTATAACTGATCGACTGGTTTTTGGTCTTATTTCTTTAAAATGACAATCTAAAAATACCTTTCGAATCACGAGAGTTAAGATTGATTGTGTGTTGTTTAACGTTCCTTTCGAGAATTTACGAGAGTTAAAAAGAAGAAAAATCTAGTGGAAATAATTTCTTTTTTGATTGTTTATTTGCTTTTTATTGTTTGTTGTTTTTTATCGTACTTGCAAAGAATAGACTGAAAAGTTTTTAAAACTTTTTAATAAAAGAAAAGTGAGCAAGCTCATATCCCCACGCTCCCCCAAAACTCGAAGTGCTGAAATTGCGGTGAAAAATTAAGGAATCCAAGTTCCTTGGTAATATGTACATCTGCACCTTGTGTCCTAAATATTTGCAAAGTTTGACAAAATCCTATGCAGTGGTTTATGAGAAGTTGCGCTGACATCTCTTTTTCAAGGTGTAGCTTAAAATCTAAGTTGAGAAGTGCAGAAAGAACTATATGCGGTATTAACCAACATTTGCCCCCCAAAATCAAACTTTGATGGAGTAATATTTAATTAAGTCCTTAAACAGGGGAGTATATGCTGACTTCAAAGCACTGAATAATTTCATAAGTAATGACGTCATATGTACGTAATGACGTCACAAATATGACGTAAATTTCAGTTTTTTATGAATTTTGCAGAAAAATGTACATATTTCGTCGATATTTTAAATAAAAGTCACCGGGCGCATGTGTGTTCAGGATAAATATTTTGATATAATGTGTAGAATGATAATATCAATGAAATATGTCAATATTGTTCCTGAACACACATGCGCTCTATAAATTTTAAAGCTTCAATTGTTGAAATTTTGTCCATTTTGTCCTCTTTCTGAAAAAGGATATAAAATCGGACTAGTTTGTGACGTCATAAAAACAGAAATTGTGAATACACTGCTCTGGAACTATAATATTTTCTGTTAACTTATATTTCTCGTAAAATTTATTGAATTCAGCACATTTCAGGAAGTTTTCAAAATTTGACTTTTGTGGGGGCAAACATATGCAATATACCGCATATAGTTCTTTCGGGAAAAATGGAATTTCCTGGTAATATGCACCTCTACACATTGTGTCCTAAACATCTGCAGAGTTTGACATCTGCAGTGGTTTATGAGGGTTGCGCTGACAAACTGCTCATCTTTATATTCAAGAAAAAGCCAAAAAAGTGATAAAGAGCGGAAATAACCGGCAAAAATAAAGGAATCGGAATTTCCTGGTAATATACACATCTACACATTGTGTCCTAAATATTTGCAAAGTTTGACCGAATTGTGTGCAGCGGTTTATGAGGAGTTGCGCTGGCAAAAAAAACCCAGAACTGATGGACTGACGGACTGGCTGAGGAACGGGTTAAAAACATTATACTCCCTGCAACTTATTGCGTGGGGTAAAATTAACAACGCAGGTATGTTAAGGAAGCATATAAATCATTTTTAGAGAAAAATAAGTTTGATAATTTATCAAAACCGCTAATAAACGTAAACTTTTATTAAGGTCAGACGTGACGTTCATCAAAATCTTCGTAATGTAAGAAAAATATTCAAAATTTTAATAACATTCTGATTTTTAAACCAGTTTCTAAACGTTTTTAAAAATACAAACACTTAAATTTTTGAAGTTAGAAAATTATTTTTCCCCCAAAGGCTTATATAAGAAAAAGTACCGCTGGTATCTTGCAGAAGTGCCTGGTAAGGTACCTCAAGTTTTTGGGAGTAAACATGTTTAAGTGGCAATACCTCAATGTCAAACTCTTAGAACTAGGAAGGTCTCGTCTGTCCTTAACTATTGCATAAAGGTAAAAGAGCGTCTAACGTAATGACGTGTGCCAACACCACGACATCACGTGACTTCTATTACATGTAATAGCGAAATGTTCCATGATAAAAAAGCTAACAGAACAACAATACCCCGGAGTTAATAACTTCTTTGAGTAAATAATATAATATATTGTTGAAAAAACATTTATTTTGTATGGTGGCATATTTCTGCCCCTTGTGTGCAAGTTATATTTCTATCAAATATGTCGACATGCAAGATAAATATGTTGACATGCAAGATAGTTATGTCAACATGTAACATAAATATGTTGACATGTAAGAAAATTGCAATCAAATAAATATTAAAAAAAATCTCAAATATCGCCCACATGTGACATTCATCATGCTAGATGCTTCTTGTTTATGTTAGCGTGCAAGATAAATATGTTGACATGCAACTTATTTATGTCGACATGCAACTTATTTATGTCGACATGCAACTTATTTATGTCGACATGCAACTTATTTATGTTGACATGCAACTTATTTATGTTGACATGCAGCTTAGTTATGTTGACATGCAACTTAGTTATGTTGACATGCAAGATAAATATGTCAACATGCAACTTATTTATGTCAACATGCGACATATTTATGTCAACATGCAACTTATAAGTTGCATGTCAACATATTTATCTCGCATGTCAACATAACCAAGTTACATGTCGACATAAATAAGATGCATGTCAAAATAAATAAGTTGCATGTCGACATAAATAGAATATATATGTGTCTAAGGGTCATCAGTTTCTTAAATCTAATTTTTATTTTCTTTTTCTCTAGAAAAGTTCCCATAATTCCCAATGGAGAAGAGATTATTTATCACATATTAAGCAAAGTTTTCAAAGGCAAAGTGTTTCATTCCAAATTCTTATTCCCCTCACCCCTCCCCGGGGATCGAGTGGTCAGGCCCTCAATAACACGAAAGGGAAACATCCTAAATTTTATTTGTGTTTCTGTGGGAAAAAATAAGACGATACTAGTATACTGATCATACTTGCAAATAATGATTCTTTTTTTATTACTAACAAAGATAAATTTCAAGTCTTCTCTTTAAATATAACTAGTACGATTCATTTTCTCTCATTTTTTGTATGGATCTCAAAGTGAATCCATAGCTTTTAAATGAGAAAGAGTTCAATATTTGTTTTATGTATCATCTTTATAAATACTTTTGTCAAGTCCCTTGAATTGCTTATAAGGCCTACCTATTGAGACGTTTTTGGCATCATCAACGTGAGCTTGACGTCGTCAACGTATCACAGTTGTAGCCTACTTCAAATACGGACATGATACAATTTTTATCACTTGAAACAACGAAATGCGTAAGAATAAATAAACAATTAATGAACTTAAATCTTAAATAGATAAAAACTTAATATATGAAATATTTTTGATGGGTCATATGTGACCCCTGTGGCAGCCAGTGGGTAGAGCCCATATATGACCCCTCTGGCAGTAAGAAGGTTAACTCGGGATTCTAGCAGCACTTTCCATGTATTTCAGAAAGCGAAATTTCCATCTGTACAAATCCTATGTTTTGAAATACCCAGCTTATATTGTTGTTCTATGGCATTATTTTTGTCACGATGACCGAGGAAAGGCCGACTGGGATGCGGATATAGCTGACTGTTTTCGAAAAAGAATAAGATTGATGAAAATAAATAAGCATACCTGTTTCTTTAACTGAACTTCATATGAATTCCACATAATATTCCCGATTTTTGCTTTTAGACTCAATTTTACGTATCTTTGTACACGTAGTCCTAGCCAAATTCTCTTTACACGACATGATCAATTCTCAAGTTACTCGATGTACACATATGACGTCATCGGTGTTAGATTTTAATCAAAATGACAGATACAGTATAACAAAATATAAACATTTTATTTTTGTTAATCTTTACACGTTTCAATTTATTTCATAGAGTTTAATTACATCTCTAAATGCCAATATTACGAAAACCTGTGTTCTTAAATTGACGTCATCTCACCCACTATGACGGCATAATGCCTCATTGACTTAGTCAAGGCAGAATATTCCACAGTACCGACCGGACACAACCTAACAGAAAGCGAACGCAGGCGTGGATCCAGAAATTTTTCAAAGGGAGGGTTGAAGTATTTTTCAAAAGGGGGGTTGAAGGCGAAAACACTTAAAACGTACGATATACACATACATATAGTTAAATAACTCAATAGAATATCGATACAGGGTGGAGTATAGTTTTTGAAAGTGGGACGTTGATCAATTTGGGAAAAAGTACTTATATACATTACCAGAAAGTTTTTGAAAAAGAAAGGAAAATGAACCTCCGAACCTGAAAATCCTGTTTTGTAAAGGGATGGGGTTTTATTTTGTTTTTACAACCGAATTTCCTTATATACTACAACATTAGCCTTTCACCTTACATTTTCTATAGTAAACACACAACAAAAAAATTGGAACTTTCTTATTTCTTTTTCTTTTTTAGCAAATCCAAAGGGGGGGGGGGTTGCAACCCCCGTAACCCCCCCTCATGATCCGCCACTGGAACCCGGAGCGCACCCCGGGTTTGCTCTCTGAGTCCGCATCGGGTTCGCTTGTGGTCCGCTAGGGTTGTCCCCGAGTGAACCCGGAACGAACCCAAAGCGAACCCGTAGCGGACCCCGAGCCAACCCGAAGCGGACCCAGAGAGCGAACTTCAAATTCAGTAGCGGTCCCAGAGAGCGAACCCGTGTTCGGTATTTCTTTAGCGCGCCAACCAATCAAAATAGCATACTGATCTGTCGATTGGGATAAAAGATCGAACGTGTTGATTTAATTCATTATAAATCCAAACATTTTAAAAATAAGCAAAACTTGTAAATGCACAGTGTAAATCTATTACGATAATTGAATAGTTTATATTTATTTATTTTAATTCTCCGGGTTGTATTTTATATTTTATGTGTTTATATTCCTTTT